GACTATGTTAAGGAACTGACGTCGAATGGGTTGAAATTAACCAAAGTAGGAGGAAAAAGTTGGAAATATTTAGATAGAAGTGACTACAGCAAGTACGACCACCCTTCTCTTCACAGGAACTTCATCAATTGGTAGATTTTTATGTAAGCTGAGACAACATTCGTAAAATCAGATAGTGTTCTCACACTATACAAATCTTATGAAGTAATTTCGATTAGGTGCATTTTATGAGCTCATGAAGATTACAAATAGTACTGAGATAAGCACTTTTAATGAACGAAAAGCTTATTTTGGGTGCTTTGAAGAATCAAACTCAAAGTTAGTAAAAAATGATAAGGTTTACCTTGATATGTTCGTTCAATTGTTAACAATTTGATTATGATTATATTTTAAATAATATAATTTACAAAAACGGATTTACGCAAAACTGTCGCTGTTATAATAGAAGTGTAACATTTTCAGCATTTTTATTTTAGAAATAAATGAAGTAAAGAATTATGTTAACGCAACAGATGATTCCATTATTAGTAGTGAAGGGCTGTAAATATATAATATAATAATATAAATATAATAAGGTGCTTATTAGATATTTAAAAAATTAGAGAGTCAGCCGGATGTTTAGTGCTCGTCATTCCCAAGATTTAATTTTGATGAGGTCGAGGGTTCGACCTCATTGGGACATAATTCCTGCCTTTCGATCCTAGCGTCAGGCTGCCCCTCAGGGGTCAAGACGGCTGAGAAACACCCCGTCGCATCCAAATGAGTTCAATGTATAACAAAGTGCATCGAGCAAAACGCAAGGGAGTTCCGTGCACATGAGCCCGACGGGAGCGAATAATAAGCAAGACCACCGTCTTAAGGGAGACAGGCAAGAATGTTAGCTCTTCAGAAGCAATTATCCAAGAACTCAGAGACGTTGATTAGCTAACATCAGTGTCGGAACCCTCACTGGACGATATCAAGAATTGGCAGATCTCTTGAGAAGACGCCGAGCGTATACAGAATGCGAATGGAAGCATAGAAAATTTCACGATGTTGGAGATGATTATAAGTTCCTCTACGATGGCACAAGCAAAAGTCGAAATGGAGTAGGTATAGCTGTTTTTGAAAGCCTAAGAAGCGCACCACAGTTGACCGATTATCTGGTCGACTTACATAAAGATTGACACTGGGAGAAAAAACCTTCGGATTG